TCTGCCCCAGCTTGAGCATGAGCTGGAGGGGCCTCACCCCAACACGCTGGGGCTGGTGGCTGGCTGGGGTATCTCCAACCCCAACATCACAGTGGATGAGATCATCAGCTCGGGTATGAGGACCCTGTCTGACATCCTGCAGTACGTCAAGCTGCCGGTGGTGCTGCACGCCGAGTGCAAGACCAGCTACGAGTCGCGGTCAGGGAACTACAGCGTGACTGAGAACATGTTCTGCGCTGGCTACTACGAAGGTGGGAAGGACACTTGTTTGGGAGACAGCGGGGGAGCCTTTGTCATCCAGGACCCGGGAACCCGGAGGTGGGTGGCGCAAGGGCTGGTCTCATGGGGTGGCCCAGAGGAGTGCGGCAGCAAGCAAGTGTATGGTGTGTACACCAAGGTCTCTAACTATGTGAACTGGGTGGAGAAGAAAACAGGCTCCTCAGAAAGATGGACATTTCTGGACTCTGAGCCAGAGAGATGAGTGACTAAGCAGCCTGCTGCCACCGCGGCTCCCTTTCTTGTTATTGTTTAATATGCTCCAGACTCTGGTCTTTCGCAAGCAACAGCCACGATACTCCACTCATGCCAAGCCTTTGCCAGCCCTCAAGGTCATTTGTTTCACTTGGTCCCACATCCCTTCACTTGCATTCTTAGGAAATGCTTGCCAGGGAGCTGGGGGAAGGGAGCAAAAGGCGAGATCTCGGTGTCCTCAGCTTGTGCTGCCCATCTGCAAACCTCACCCACGCTCCAGGGAGCCTTCCTCCAAGCCAGGAAAAAGGCACAGAAACTGAGGCAGCATTTCCTTGGCACCAAAGCTTTGTGCCATGCACAGGGAATTGCCCCCACCTCTGGGACTCTCTGGTCAAATCTTCCCATCAGAAGATGCAACTGTAGAGCCTATGGACAGAGCAGGAAAACCCATCTGGGCAGGCCTGAACCTCACAGGTCCCCCACACTTTCTATGCAAGGAGTAGTGAGAGAGTCGTGGGGGGTTGCTATTATTTTTGTTTGCAAGCAAACTTCCCTGCCTGGTGGCATCTCAGGTGATGCGCACCTGGCCCCAAGGATGTGAGGGTGAATCCACAGTTAGCCCTAAACTTCAGCCCTAAACTTCAGCCAGCACCAGCCCAAATGGTCTACCTGTGTCTTACCATGTGGGATGAGTGACCCACAGAGGACACAGGGACAGGGAGAGGGGTTTGGACTCAGCGTCACACTCACCTCCAGCCACAAAACATCTCCAACCCTCTATCACTTCAAACCTTCTCCAGTCACACCCCCAGACTAGCTCTGTGGTTTCCAGCCACAGCAGGCCTCCCAAGGAAATTTTTTCAACATATGAGACAGCATCACTTTGGCTCTACCTAAGCAGTACTTCTTTTCAGCAGAATCATTTCAGATAGAACATGTTTCCTTGGGCTTTCACCTCTTTCTCAGGAGCCTGGTAAGTCCTGCATGGCAGTTTTTTCATTCTTGCAAGAACCTAGTCCATTTTAAGTGCTTTTAAGGCCATTGATTTAGCTGGTTTACGGTTACTGATGGTGTTCGGCATTTGTTCATGGCTCCTGTGGGCTATTCCAGGTGTCCAAGTCATTTTAGACTGACCCAAACTCACCTAACGCACTAGAAGTATTCATATCTCACCAGCTTCCTTCCAAGGCCCACGCAGACAAATAAGCCCTGCCAAGGAACAAGGTCATGTGAGCTTACCTTCCTTCAGTGGGGATACCTTCTCCTTCATTTGCCAGCAAAGCCCTCCTAGAGCTCTAAGCAACATGCAAAAATTGCCTGCTGTTCTCTCCATGTGCCTATAGCCTCCTTTTGGTCTCTCCACCTTCTCCTCCTTGCTTTTGCCATGAAAGGAAGAAGCTAGCAGTGGGTGAGCCACTCTGACATTTTGTTATTATCCAAAAAGCCATTTGTAGAGCATTAGAGGAGCAGGAGGCCTAAGGAAGGTCAGTCTTGCAGGCATACTATGAACTGTACTCTTGGCTATGTCATGTAACTGCAAGGTATTTTCTAGTATATATATATATATATATATATTTCTTTTTTTTTGATACTACATTCTGTAAAATATCTAATGTCATGTAAGGATAGTTCTCTGCAGTCTTCCTCCTGAGAACTAAATAAAACTTTTATATGTACTGAGTTTGTGCCCTGAGACTTTTATTCCAAGAGGAACATGGTCAAGGTTGGTTGCTAGTCTCTGCCATGCACACCTCCTCTCCCAGGTGGATTCTCACACCATCCCTCACTCCGATGGCTGCTCAGCCATGGCCTGCGCAGCTTCATGGGCTGAGACAGTCCCTGAGTAGCCCTGAATACAAATCACAAAAAGGGCGACAGATGAGATTCTGTCCTTCAATTATTTATAGCCTGAGCAAAACACTGAAGGGGCAATGGCAGGAGGAGAGGGCAGCAACCTGTATGCTGAGAATAGCAATTAAATCTGAGTTCAATTGCCATGAGGAAAAAATAACAGGTATATGATTTTTGCTTTAAAAGGAGTGAAAAATCAGCCCATCCCAGTAGCTGTTGGACTGAGAGAGTGTCTTCATAGCAGAGGCTCTGCAGCAAGCTCAGATGTGAGCTGAGGCAGGTACAAAGCTCTGTTGGGCATCTCTGTATCACAGGCTGTGAAAATCTCACCTTTGGAGAGAGCTTAAAATCACAGGCACTGTTCCCTATCATGTGCCTAGATCCAAGTCTGAGAGCTGAGTTATTGATCCCTATTTTTCTATGGCACAGAACTGAAAAACAGTGCCAGGCTCCTCTGCATTGATGGCAGGGAGGAGGGCCATGGGTCTGGCTCACTCATGGGTCTGCTGACATGACCAGAGACAGTGAGGGTAAAGGAGAGGAGAGGAGAGAGAAAAAGCAAAATCAAAGCATGGTTCTCTGAGCATTAAACCATCATCTGTAGGATCTGAGCCCAGACAGCTCTGGGGCACATTAAGAAATATTGCTGCACTACAACAGATAACTCATAAATACAAACTCTCCTCCACCTCTTGTTGATAGCTCTGCCGGGAAATCCCCATCACAACCCAGCCCTCATACCCTGCTCACCAAGCTGCTGCCGCCAAGTGCCAACCCCTCGTGCCCCACGGGCGCTTCAGTGGTTGCAGGGTGGGCTGGCAACAGGCAGCCAAGGAGAAAAGTGGGAGCAACAATAGGCTTTGCTTTTGCTGGCACCTCGCAACCTGCCAGAGTGGTGAGAGCTTCTCTCCAGGGAGACAGGCGCGGAGACAGCAATTTATCAGTCTGGCTGTGGTGAAAAGCCAGAAAAACATCCCCGAGGAGGTTTTACTGCCCCTGGCTGCATGTGAGTGCCAGGCGTGAGCTGAGAGTTGGCTACAGCAGAGCCCAATCTCAAACAGACTGGAGGGGACACCCAGGACCTACAGAGAGAGAGAGCATCCTTCTTCCCTCAGCCACCTTCCACTGTTCCCATGCTAGCTGGGGGCCTGGCCACTGCTCACCAACCTTGGGGCTGCACCGAGCTGCAAGGACTTGCTCTGTACTCCAAAAGTGCCAAGAGCCACAGAAAGAAGCAGTTTGAGGACAGTTTGCTAAGAAACAAGTGGGAGATGGGCACAGCTGCATGTTGGAAAGGGTATCCTGAAAAGGACCCCAAAAATGAGACCACGGCTAAGAAACCTACACATTCTCAGGTGGCTCTGAGTTTTGGGGAGGGGTGAAGGGGCTGCATGATGGAGAGGGCATGCTCAAACAGCATGAGGAGACGGACAGACAAGTAGGCAGAGGCAAGGAGGACATCAAGACAAAAGCAGCATATTTACATGAGGCTGTGGATGGGGAGCACAGGGGGTGTGCAGAAGACTAACAGAGGAGCAAGGGATGGGTCTGCCCTTGTGAAAGAGCAGAGAGACTCAAGCAAGAAAATAAGGACCCCCACAGGGATGTGGTCTCCACCAGAGTTGACTTCTCAGGCACAGGCAAGGGAGTAGCCCCTCAGCGGCTGGGTGACTGGGGAGGCTGCAGACAGCCAGACATGATGACTGGGGCTGGGAAAACCTCAGCATGGAAAGAAGAGGGCTATTGGCAATGGCAGAAAGAAACTTGGCCATGTCTCTGCTTCATGACATAACGCCGGCGGGGAGAGGGCGGGCAGCTCCCATCGCAGGAGGGGAGTTGGTCCAGGCTGCAGGATCAGCCTCCTCCTCCTCCCCAGCAGAGCCACTCATCCACAGATCAGTTCCATTCCCACGTAGGATAGACTTTAGAAGGACCATGCTACAGGGAAACAGCTGATCACAGAAATAGGAGGGAGGGCATCCCCCACCTAGGGAATGCTCTCCCGTCCCAGTGCTGTCAGCTCATTGGTCCCAATTCTTCCCAGTGCAGTGCCGGAGATCTGCAGCTCCATCTGGTGGCTCTATGGCCAGGGCTGCGGAGGCTGCGGAGGAGAAAAGGTGCTGGGGAAGGGGGAAAGTTGGTGGGGCAAGCAGGATGGAACATTCAGGAAACCAAATCCACACGTCCCATGGATCACACAGGGTTTTCTTGTTATGTACATTTGTTTTTAACCAATAGCTTGCAGGTTGCATATGTGAAAGTACGGGGAAACCTTACACCGGCAGAAAAAGCAAACATCAGGGCCAAAGGCAGGGGAGCCTAAGGATGTGCCTCCCTGGAAGCTGAGCTCAGACAGTGAATAAAGGCAGCACCACCTTCTCTCCAAGCTGCTCCCACACACTTAGAAAAGCCTCTAGAGAAATTAAAAAGCACAAATCCATCTTTAGGCTGAGGATAAAGGGCTTGTTTTATTCTTGCAAGTAATAAACCTCATCCTTTGCATGGAGTAGCTGAGAGTCATCCTCACATAGAATATATTCCATAAGAAAGCATCACACTCACCACCTTCCCTGAGGCTTTGGGTCAAGGTGCCTGGCTGAGGCATTCTTATGTGTTCCCATGCCACCAGAAGCCAGGAAAGCCTAGCTGAGCCATAAGTGAGGGCTGACCTTTGGCACCCAGTTTTCCAGGCACTCCATCAGCTCCCTGAGCAATCACCTCAGCTCCTCTTTGCAATCTCCAGGTCCCACTACATCCTGGTGAAATAAACCACGAAGAAGATGATCATTGCCAAAACAAAGAGCAAAGAGCTGCCAATGCAGCAGCAGCGTTTCCAGGGGAAGTTGCTATTGCGGGGTGAGGGGCGGCGGGTTGAGGCTCTGTGGGGCCCTGAGCGCTGGCGTTTCAGGGACCTATATGCATCTAACAAGCTCTTCCTGTCATCACATGCTGCGTATTGACACATATCTGTCAAGTCTTTCCGGGCATCCGATGCCAAGGCCTGCCATGACTTGTTGCAAATGCCAAGCCTGCAGGCCTCGCAGTGGGTGCTATCGTGCGGCCCCGTCACTGGTATATCCACCACAACTTCCAGAAGGTCAGAGGACTGGACAAGCTTCTTGTAGAAATACTGGAGGATCTTTACCACCAGATTGTGCAGAATCCTCTCCACAGTCTCCAGGCTGAACTCAGGATACTCCAGCTGGGAGTTGCGGCAGCACCTGCATTCCTGGCGAAAGACTCGCATCCATACTGTGCCCCGGCCTGGGCACCGGCACATGTGGAACAGGATGAGCACTTTGGCCGAAGTCCACTTACGACAGCACTGGGAGCACTGAAACCTGTCAGGGCACAGATGAGACCAACTCATCCCAGGCTCCCCATACTGAGCCAGAAACTTCCCACTCAGCCAGTAGGGACCAGGGAAGCCATGGCTCCTGCAAGCTTTATACTGAACTGTCCTTCCCCTAACAGCATGATGCTAGGCTGGGGAGTTGACCACAGATGTGAGCTGAGGGCTGGCCCCAGCATTAAAGATCTTAGCAGCCAGGCTGTCTGCTGGGATCCTTCCTCCACTGCAAAGAGCAGGGGTCCTTGGAGTGGGAAACATCAGGCCCTTATTTGGGACCCCAGCCCCTCACCCATGCCAGCTCAGCACATCTCAGCAGAAAGCCAACATCAAGCCCAAGACTGGATAAGACAAAAAAAAAAAAAAAGCAAAATAGAAGGAAGGTGTGAGTGGAGGCTGCTGCGCAGGGGAGGATCTTGAGGAGTCTAAAAGTGTGCAACCCACAGCTCTTCATCTTGCACAATTGGGACAGGCAACAAAGGTCTCCATTTGCTGCCACCTGAGCAGGATGTCTGAGGGTCTAAATGTTTGGGATGGGGCTTCTCATCAACAATGCAGACCCACAGCCTCTCTCTGCTCTGAGATCTCATAGCCTGGTGCAGGTTCAGGGGCTGCTGTGGCATCACCCCACATCCTGGCAGACAATGGATCTCACTGTCCTCATCCTCTGGGTCCAAACCCAGAAGATTTGGCTCTAGTGTGGTGTAACTAACCCTGCTTACTGGAGGAGCTCTGGCATCTTGACACCAACATGGAGAAATTTCTGGCCAAATACCAGCTGCCCTTTGGCCCTGTGGAGGCTGCTGCACTCTTCTCCCCTCCAATTATCATGTTTTCCTGTTTGGCAATAGCCCACTAAGCTTTGAACAAAACCAGAAAAACTCCTTCCAGCCTCGCCCACCTCCAAACTGCCCCTTTTGTGTCAAAACCTGTTTCCTACAAGCAAACTTTGAAAAAGGAAAAGATCCACATGGCAGCACATCAACCCTTTTCCCACTCCGACAGGGACTCAGTCAGCAGTCCCTTACCTGCCAAGAGCATGGCGCTGCACAAACTCCTTCCAGCCAGGACTGAGGGCCTGCGCCTGCAGGGTATCATCCTCCTGAAGTGTCCACTGCTCTGTTACATGCATTTTTGCAAGCTTCTCTTTGAAAATGTCCTGCCAGTTCATCCTGGTTCCACTTGGAGCTGTGGAAGAGGCAGTGACCATGCTTGCAGGTCAAGCTTGTGGCTTCTGAGGGCTAATACACGTGTGACTGTGTTTTCCCCAAGTTTTTCCTCTTTCTACAATGCCTTTGTGCTTGAAGAGGGGAACCTTTGCTCCCGTAAGAGCAGCACCGCCCCCTCCTGATCTCTGGGTCAACAGTCCCTGCTGACGCTGCACCAGGTCCTGGACAGGTAAAATGTCTCCAAAAGCAAGGACAGGTGGGTTCCATCAAGATCCACACATGAACCCCTGACCCTGCAGAGCCATGCTGTCATGATGCTGCTCTGTCCACAGGCAGAGAGGTTGGAAACAAAACCTGCCAGGCTGCCCTTGCCCATCACTGTTGTGGCAGTGGCGTGAACTGACAGAGATTGTGCCTAGCTTAGGAATAATGGAAGTGAAACCCACACAGGACTCAGTAACTGATAATGCTCCAGGTAACCTTATCTCTCTCAATAGCTGCCACTAACCATGGGCTATTTTTACCAACTTCCAGCCAACTCAAGCAGAAAAAGTCCCAACAACCACAGGTTGGCAGGGAGCCTCTGATCTTTGCTGCTGGAAGGAAAAGTCGTTTGTACCAAGACCCCTCCAACACCTTCACGATGAGTGCTGCTGGTCCTGTGAGAGCAGAGGGACATAACAAGGTCCCAGGGCAGACCACATCTTCAGCTTTGAGGTTCTTTCCTGTTTTGAGATCCTTCCACTCTTATTTACCCCTTGATGCTATCATCTGGGGAGGACTAGGAGGAAGGAAAGAGCATTCTTGGAAGGAGAGGAGCCAAGGTCTTCAGGATCCTTATGAAGAGGTAGAAAGTCCTAACCTGTGGATGGGACCTGAGTCATCCCCTTCCCAAGAGCCCCGCTATGGGTACATGAGGTCGTGCTTGGGCTGGGGCAGCAAACTATAAGCAGGACAGTAAAGGAGGAGTCATCCCACCAGCCTTTTCAATGCTCACAGGTCGGGGCCAGAGAACATCCCTGGCTCAGGGCTGGTGCACGGGAGGAAGAGAGGAAGTAGCAGATCTCCTTGGCCTCCTCTCACTCCTTTCCCAGTGGACCCCATTTCTATAGGTTCACTATAGAAGACTCCTCCATGCATCCTTCCACAGAGAAGTCTCCAGGGCTGCAAATCTTGTAGTGCAGAAAGTAGGAGCTAAGCAGCATCAAGGCTGGCCTTACAGGGGGCATCATGGCCCACTATGACATAGGGACCCAGCAGCAGCAGGGTACCAGGATGGGGCCCCCACCCTGCAGCATCTTCCTGCCCCCTTGGACCTCTCTGTGTTATTGTCCAAGATTTAGTCTGTGGGGGGTTGAATGCAAGAAAAAGGCAGGCAGAGCTGCCTGTGTTCAACCCCAAACACACTGATTACTTCATCTGGAGGGTCTGTTCTTTCAGCGCAGCTCTTCCTCTCCGAGACTGCTGCCACAGGGCAGAGGGATGGTCCCGATGGGACAGGCACTGCTCCCCATATTTCCCACTCCAGGGACCAAAATGCTGCCCCTCAGACACAGTGTTCAGCAGAAATCCAGTGACACTCCTCACGCAGGGACGGGTCCCTGTCTCCAAAACTAAGCTGTGATGGAAACCAGTCCCCTGTTACATCATGGCAACACAACTCAAATCACAACTCACGATGTGCCGAGCCCTCACAGTCATCTCTGAGACAGAGCTGGGTGCTGGTCCCTCTATTAAAGCTTTTGACTTGCTTTTACTAAAGGGACTTTCCCAGAACCACCCCCAGAGACGAAACTGCTTTGACGTCCTGTTCTATTTCACACACACCTCCCAGCTCTGCCCAAGCACCTTGCTGCTTACCAGCACCTGCTTGGAAACCAAAGTTGCTGCCACAGGGAGCAGCCCAGCCTCAGCAGAGAGCAGGGATGAGCCCTGTCCAGGACACAGAATGACCCCACTAGGCTGGCAACCCTTGCTGGAGACAGACCCTGACAGTTCTCTCCATCCCGGCACACTGGTCATGAGTCCTCCATGGAATGTGTGAAGGTAGCACACAAGGTGCAGCCTGTGTGGTAATTTCCCTGCTGCTTTCACACAGCCTGAAATTATTTTTTTACTTCAGCTCCCACCCCTAACTGAGCAGCCCCTGCGGAAGCGGGAAGGTTTCCCAAAGTTCTTTCTCCTCCTCTTCATCTCTCAGTGTGTGTCAGCCTCCCTGTCCCCCAGGTCTCCAGCCCAGGCCCATGAGGACTCTCGTTGGCCCATGTGCACCCCATCCTTGCTGGGACATCCATTACTTCTTTTGGGATGGGTCACCCTGTACACAGGTGGCTCCATCTTGCCAGCAGTCCCTAGGAGGGGCAGATAGGAACATTCAACCCCAGTTCACAGGCAGGACTGCAAAGAGGGACATCCCCTCAGCAGTGGGGATGTTGTGTTCGTGGGCATGGCAAGGTTTGCAGGACAGATGGACTGACATCTGAGCAACAGGGCAGAACCTTAAACTGCTTGCTCTATACCGGGGCTTTTTCCCCACTCTGAAGACTTTCATCATCTTTTCCTGCACTAAACACACCCGATTATTTTCCATCAGTCATTCTTTCAGGACATTTTCTCCAGGTCATCAGGGTAAATTTGTTTTCCAACCCTCCCCTCAAATAGGTCCTACACCCTCCCTCAAGAGCATCTTGCCTTCATGTGAGCCATGCTTCCACAGAAAACTAGTTTGATGTGTCTGCTGTCATGAGATATTGATAACTGCTCATGGGATATAGCTCTTTGGGAAGCCATTCACCCACAGTGGCAGAATTTCCCATTTCCCCAATTTGCTTATGAGAATTTCACATAAGACAGCACAAAGATAGCATCACTCTTGCTTTCCCTGCTGTACCCAGCCTGTCACCCTAATGAAGAGAAAACAAGGTTGGTTTGGCACACATTCCTGCTAAATGCGTTATCTCAGCCACAGTATTGTCCTGTCAATGTTACTGCTTGGTGGCCTTACTAATTTGTTCCAGAGTTTTTCTGGGTACCAAGGCAGGCTGACTCATCTAGAGTTTCACAGATCCTCTTTTTTGCTCTCCTTGAAGCAGATGGGTAATTGGGCGTCCATATCCTCCTGGGACACAGTTCCGTGCCAGCTCTCTGTGCCTCAATCCCCCTCCGACCTTGCCACTGCTGACGTTGAGTGGTTGTCACCCTGTTGTGGTGAAACCCACCACCTCTAGGGACAAGCAATAGCTGCAGGTTCCCTTCCAGGCTGGATTGCCTCCACATGCAAGCCCTTGGAGAAGAAGGGTCCAACTATCCCAGAGTGGATTTGAGGCAAGGAGTATCAGGTCCTCTGGAAATGGGGGTATGCCCAAGCCAGATTTTAGAGAGGTAATTGCCTCATCACCCAAGACTTCTGGGATGAGAGGGATGCTGAGCGATGGGGAAAGGTTTAATGGAGCAGGATGTGAAGATGTGGACAGATATCAGTCCACATGGATTTGGGATACCTGACTTTCAGGTGAGCCTTGTGATGATCTCTCCAGTCGTAAGGAGAGAGCTCAGCACCCTCCGACAAGGCTCTGCCACAGTTCCATGGACAGTAGGTTTGGTCTTAGGGCAGTGGAGTGGGCAGGTACAGGGCTCCTGCCTGTCCCTCCGAGCCCCCATGTGTCAGGATCTCACATGCCACCACCTTCCTTGAGTATCACATCCCAGCAAAGGGAAGAAGAGAGAGAAGAAACTCTGGAGACGACTCAAAGCAAAACTAGAGAAAGCAAAGTGAGGGTGGTGGGAGGAAATGCAGATATTCTACAAGGCTTCAGCAGGTTTGTGACAGGCAGGGCAAGGCGTTTGGTGGGACAGGACAGAGATGCTGTGGCTTGGACCCTTTAGGACACACCAGGGCTGTGCAAGCCACGGTTAGACACAGGCAGCCTGCCCAGCAGCCCATCCCTCCCATGATCAGTGACACCACTCATTAGCTTAGCCCAGCCTGTCTCTTCCAGGACTGACATCTGCTTTCCCAGCAAGTCAAGGCCATGGCAACACTTCCACACCACAGTGCCACACAGACCATCTCATTAACCCGGGGGCCAAATAACCCACATACTTCCTGCATCACCTCCAGCCTAACCTCTTTCAAACAAAAACACATCTCCAAGACCTTCCAGTGATCAAGACAGTGCTCACCTGAAAATGACCTTACTGTTCTATGTCCTGACCACCCCTTCCCCCCCCCAGAATCTGCAATGCCCTGTTGTTTAGGAACAGCACTTTGCTGCTCCATGGCTCTCCTCAAAGACACTGCTGCAAGTGTCTCTCTATCTTCATCTGCCTGCCCAGTTTTCTTGATACGTGTTTTGTAAGTTCAGCTTTCTTTAAGCGAAACAGGTTTTTTTAAGGAGTGCTTGTTCACATGTTGTTCCCAACCACCTTTAATCAAGGCTGGGGTATATAAGGAGCCAGGCTGGCTCCCAAGCCTCACATAGAGGGTTTTGTTTGCTTTGGTATAGCTTAGGCACATGAAGTCACACATCCAAGCTCCCTGCAGATGCTGACAGGGATCAGTCTCACGTCTCACAGAGGGGTCTGGCCATTCTCCATCATCAAGACCCCGGGGTGGGACCAGGGATGAGGCTCTCCAAGAGGTCACAGCTGGCATGTGGTCTCAGGGAGCTGACAAAGCATTTTGGCACTGACGTTGTGACAGCCACTTCTCAGGGGAGTGCTGGGTGTCCGCGGTCAGAAGCGGTTGCTCTGGCTGCCAGCTCAGAGTGTGCAGGAAACGCAACAGCTTCAGCACCCACAGCCACCCCCTTGGCTGCATCCAGGTCCCAGTACGGGAGAAACCCTGGCACATGGATGGAGGGGCTGGGGGGATACATGTCTGCAGCAGGGTTAGTGTATTTGGTAACAGTAACTGTGCAAATCTGGGGGTGTGCACACAAATTTGCATGGGGAGTTGCTTCCACATCTGTGTTCATGAGCATTCACGTGTGCTTGCACATGAGTGTGCATGGACAGGCTGAGGATGCTTGCTCTGGGGGGATACAGTGTGCAAAAAAATTGGACACACACACCCACCCCACCCTGGTCTGGCTGTTGTGCACTTATGAGCTTTGTGCAATGGGAAGGAAGTTGCTGGGAGCATTCTCCAT